GTTTCTCTATCCGCATAGTTCTCCCGCGCGAAGTCAAGGATACGGAGAGCAATGTCTCCCGTGCCACCTGCAACATCTATACAGTGCAGGGGCCCCTTCCGCCCTGGCTTTAGCGAAGAAACGAAGGAGTCTTTCCAGAGCCTATGAACACCGAAAGACGTGGCATCGTTCATAAGGTCATAATTCGAAGCGACCGAATCAAAGACCTCCTTGACCAGCGTTTCCTTTGACTCTTCTGGGACAGTCCTGAAGCCAAAAGATGCCGTCCGCTGTGTAGGCTTTTCGGGTGTGGGAGGAAATGGTGGAGATGTTTGTGACGAAGACAAGGAGCGCGACCAAGGGGAAACTCTTGATACAGGAACTCGTATAACACGAGAAAGGCGAAGCATGGCTGGAATTTGCAGCTCGTGAACGACGCGAGTGGAGAACGGAAGTTTGTGGACCACGTGATGGCCGATCACTTTTTTGAAATTTCGATTTCCATTGTCAGAATTTAACTGCCTAGAAAGACTGACTGCGAGTGCTCTAACCATGGCTTTATCTACGACAACCAGCAGGAAAGGAAAAGAGAAAGTCATTGGTATGAAGCTTTGCTTGTCTTTCGTACGGAATATCTCACGTTCCTGTAGATTTGCCCTCAGATTCAGAATCATCTACCTCTGGAAGCTCAGCGGACAGTAGCGACGCTTCTGACTCGGATAGTGACGATGAGCCGGTCACTCCTGAATATCTGGAGAGTCTTCTTGAGAAAGCGCGTCAAAGCTATGCTGCAGCCGCTGCAAAAGAGAGTGGCGCGAATTTCACTGCCGGGGAGGAGGAGGTCATCACACTCGACGAGGATGCTGGTCAAAAGTAGGTTTGTTATACAGATTTTGCCCACAATTACTCAATAAATTTCTTCAAGACCATTACCTCAGTTAGACCCAGGAACTCTTCCCCCGGCCTACTTTGAGCTCGGCGCTTCTCGACATGATGGCCCGTCTAAAATGCGGGATCCGGATATTGAATTGGCAGAAAGGGCATCGTCCTCACGGGCTGTACCGGCTCCACCAATAGCACCACCCGAGCTTACCAAGTCTGGGAAACCTTTGACGCGTAAAGAAAAGAAAGAGGTTCGTGATCTAAGTTCACGTCCCATCCATGTCCTGACAGAATCAATACCAGCTTAAAAATAAAACTGCCGGCTCAGATTGGTTCGATTTACCAGCCCCAGCAGAGGCAGATCTGCCTCGTCTGTACCGAGAGGTAGAAGCACTTCGCCTACGGAACCAGCTCGACCCAAAAAGGTTCTACCGAAAAGACGAAGGCGAAGGAAAGGGTATAAAGGGGTTGCCGAAGTATTTTGCGGTAAGGATGGTCACCTGCTGACGTGTTTATCCTGGCTGACGAACTTTCTGGACAAGATAGGGACAATACTCCCTTCAAGTACACCGTTTGGGACCGCCAGTGGGGACAATCTTACTCGCGCAAATCGCAAACGGACACTTGTGGACGAGTTGGTGGACGATGCTGAGGCGAAGCGGTATGCCAAGAAAAAGTTCGAAGACCTTCAGAGTGTGCGGGGTGCGAAGGGGAAGAATACCCTGGCCGCCAAAAAGGCTATGCGGAGAGCAAAGTGGTAACACTCTACTACCTGTACGAGGTACAGATACGTCCTTCATACCCGCGTTGTAATAATATTATTACCCGTAGCTGCCTGTGATATCACGATGGACCTCTTTTCTATTTGTGAAGTTGTGACAGTACAAAAATACTCCCCGGCCAGCAGTTATGAACAACTGACGATGAGTTAGCAAGGCAAAGGACATAGTTGCAGTCAATCGAATGGGGTGGCATTGCGTTCAGTCCAAATAAGACTAACGGATGGTTATTGCACATGCAAAAGCGATATTGGTCTGCAACAACGCTGAAGTGATATACAAAACCAGAAAATGATATCCAAGAAAACACTGCCAGGGCTCGATCACCCGAGGCGAACACTCTTGATAACCTTCGAAATACCGGATTTTTCTCCGTCGTATCTTCCACCAGATTCTGAAAGACCACCCTTGAACACCGCCTTCTGTGAGGACAGTTTCTTTTTCGCCTTTTCGAACTTGAGGCGCTTTTTGACCCTGGGATTGCGAACACTTTTCGGGCGATGAGGAGTGAGACCTTTGTTCGCCATAATTGCCCGGGTAAGTGAGCGCGGGCCGCTGGCAGCATCCTCGTCGAAGTTGGGGCTGGGAAACAAAAGTTATAATGTGGAATGACGGAAAAAATAACGGGAAGTAAACAAACCGTGCAGCTTCCACCATCGCGTCGTATTCCGCTTGTTTTTCCTCTTTTTTGGCCTTTGTTTTCTTCTTGATAAGTTCGTAATAACCATCAGGACCTTCTGGAACGTCGTCGTCGTCGTCGTCGCGTCCTTGTTGCACTCTAGGATCAGGCTCCGTGTCGTCCAAATCTTCACCACCCTGGCCTCTATTCTTGGTGTTTTCTCTGGTAGTGCGAGCATCCCTCTCCTTCTTACGCTCACGATAAGGAAGGTCGTCGTCACCTCCCACGGCTTGGTTCCTTGCACCTTTGCGCCTGGCACTTGCGCTCTCGATCTTCGAGGTATGGAAGCGTAGGGATTTTTTACGTGCAGACTTGTCGGCTGCATCTGCGTGTTGAAGTGAAGTGGCCTCGCCGTAGGCATCGGCAATACCAGAATCAGAGGCTATGCGAGATGATGATGCCTTCGAAGGTGCGAATTCGGGCTCCACAAGATCGAAAACGGGGGAAGGGTTGGCAGATTTCAAGGTCTTGCGCTTCTTCTTCGGCGGTTCAGGCAATTGAGGCCGAGACTCGTGGGAGGACGCGTCCTGCAGTAACATTTCTAGCTCGTCCTCGTCCATGCCCACATCACCAGCTTTATCCCAGACAGCCTCGCCATCTGCCATGATTTCATCCCATGTCATGCTGGCATCTTCCTCTTCGTCCTCTTCATCGTCTTCAGAGTCAGAGGCATTGAAGTCTAGGTCCTCGAGAGTAGCAAGAGACTGTTTCAAGGTCAGGAGGCGGCGTAGTATGGGATGCGCCTTGAGCAACTCAGGCCGTTGCGCAAACTTTTCCGAGCTGGCCAGATGGAAATAGAACGCGAGGGTGGTTGTGTATGTCAACAGGGCTTCTGTAGGGGGCATCAAGACAGGGACGATTATACTCTAGCAGAATCAACCTTACGATAGTATATGTGTATCATGCCGAGACTGAGTGCGTCTGGATTCTCTGACTCCATTCTGCAAGGTGGGTTAGATACTGCCGAAAGTGCGTCGTCTTGGCTCACCTATGAAGTTTCTCTTGGGTACTTGCCAGAGTTTCGATCGCATCTTCCCAGTCGCGTGCCAGAGCCAAAGTCTCCGGGCTAGTCTTCTCTAGATGGCGTATGATAAGTTTTTTATCTTGAGGGAGTGTTTGGACCACTGGCGTAGGTTCTGCGAGTCCACTGTGTATACAGGCAGTTCGTCAGCTCATCGTCCCAGAAATATAATGGATAGGCACGTACTCGTCTTCTTCAATAAGTTCAGTATCCACTATGTCGGCAAGTCCGAAGTCGCCATCCACCATGTCCTCACGCATCTTACTTTGCAGCCTCTTCGCCTCCTGCTCCTCCAGTTCATTACCCTCTTCATCGTCTGATTCGAGCTGAGCGGCGTTCGAGGAATACCAAGCAGCTTTACTCTTGCCCCAAGTTTCTTCCTCGGATTCCTCTTCGTCTTCCTCTTCAGACGACTCTCCCTTCTTTTTCTTTGTCTTGGATTTCTCCGCCTTCTTCTTCTTCTTCGTTGGAAGATCTTCAAGTTCCTCTTCCTCCTGTTCGTCCATATCCACATCTTCGTCTTCATCATCACCCACGCCGTTCAGAGCAAAGACCTCATCTTCATCGTTGTCGTCGTCCTGCCAGCCACTGCCGTCTTCCAAGAGAACTTTATCTCGCGATGCGTGAACTATGAGGAATTAAGCACGGGAGTGCAAATTCATTTGGGAAAAACATACACAGGTCTTCTTCATCCATCGGGACGTCTGAAGCTTTGTTCCATTTTGTGACTTTTGCGTCTTGACGGTTCACAGGTCGGGGTTTTCCTTTACTTCCGCGAGTTTTTGAGGGACGGCGAGGCATGTTAGAGAACTGCCCAAAGGTGTTTTGACGAAGTTTTGGTGGGCCAAATATAGCCTGCGCGCAGACTCAAAAGGCGTGTTTACGAGTATGTGTTATTCGAAACAAACTACATGGCCGCCTGGCGAAATGGCATCGCGTCTGACTACGATGGCGTTATCAGGAGATTGCAGGTTCGACCCCTGCGGTGGTCATTTTGTTGTGAATAATATTTTCTGCTTTTGGAACCCACCGCGAGGTGCACAGGCTCAGAACCAAGAAAAAAAATTCAAGTAACATATTTACATTGCGCGCTCAACATTTCAAGGACAACGTTCACGAACTTCATCTTTTGACTACTTGACTTTCAACGCTGATCATTTTTGAGCCGAAGTTGTAAACTTCATCTTTTGAATACTTGACTTTCACCGCTGATCATTTTTGAGCCCTTGTTCTATGCAGATACTCACCAGGGAGCCTGAGGCGGTTGAGTTTCAAGGTGTGGAACTCAGATCCATAGCAGGGCGGAAAATACAGGGATTCCATTGATCCATGGGATGATAACCAGTACCCTGACTGAATTCCAGTATGCCAGTAAAGGCGATGAAAGAGGAGCTGTAGGGCTGCGAGTAGGTGATACAAGTATATGACCGGAACTCCGTGGAGGAAGGAAAAAGAGCGGTGGTGGTTATGGAGGGATCAAAAAGGTGAACATAGCGGGGAGGATGTGACCACCGCAGGGGTCGAACCTGCAATCTCCTGATGACAGTGTCGTAGTCAGACGCGATGCCATTTCGCCAGGCGGCCATGACATTAGACTGGCCCCGGAGGTGAACATGCCTGTAAAGGCCCAAATTTCATGAGTGGAAATAGGCCAACAAAATGACCACCGCAGGGGTCGAACCTGCAATCTCCTGATAACACGGCATCGTAGTCAGACGCGATGCCATTTCGCCAGGCGGCCACGATATCTACTTGACATCGCCCTCATACATTGCGGCACCTGCTTCAGTTTTTTCTCTCTACGCTCAAACACAAGTATCGACCATCTACATATCGTCTTCTCTGTCCTCCACCAACGCCGCAGCGCACCATGCGCCTGGACTTGGGCGAACAAACGAGCTATAAGTGGCTTTCCATACACTCCACAGTTGTTGCCAATATAGTCTCTAGTAATGCGGTGCAAAGGCTTCTCCGATTAGCTTTCATCGTGTCCTAAAGTTATGGCAGACTTACCACAGTTTTGACAATCGGTGCCTATAGATCAAGCTTTACCTTTTCCTTTCGAGGAGGATCTGGGATTGTATGATGAGCAATGACTCGAGACACCGTACATGACTTCAAGGGAGCGAAATCGAGGGGTTGAACGAGACTTCAGTGACTCACGATGGATCGCTGTTGACGTTCTTCATGATTGTCAGTTTCCCGGATGAGGCGGCCTGAACCATCTGTGACTCGATAGATTTATTGATTTTGGCAGTCAGATCCTGTAACGGACGGTGTAAGAAGCAATAGAACTATGCTGCCGAGTGGATACACACCCTTTTCATGGCAACCTGCTTCAAGAGGCCAGGCTTCTTTGGTGCGATGTGCCGTTGGCCTTTCTTCATGTTTGCAGCAGCTTTCTGAGCATGGCGAGACGATGCTGCCTTAGTTGTAAGTCCTTTAGTTTTGCCTTGAACCATAGCTGTAGAACAAATGGACAAGAGAGGAAGAATGGGCGTAGAGTGCAAAGGTCTTTCTAGTTGAAGCTGCCGACCAAATTTTTCCACGGGCGCCAACACGGGACCGTTGTTCCCGCCATCCACCGAACTCCCAACACCCTGTGTCGGGCGCACTTACGGGCATGATTGCCTCAACTCCGAACCTCTTGCGCATACAGCGTGCCCTCAAGGCCTCTGGAAAGGTGAATTTCGGTCTAAAATACCGGAGTAGTCATAATAAACCCTTCTCCAGCGTGCATATCACGACCTTGTTACTCTTCCGGGGCAGAAGCCCATCGTCTCGCAGGGTATTCCTGGATACAGCGCTGTCAGTGGTCATGTCGTGACAGTCTTCGGATGCACTGGGTTCTTGGGGAGGTACCTCGTGTCGAAGCTGGGTGAGTGGACTCTTCTTCTTTGTTCAGACCATTCCTCATCAGAAATACCCTCTACAGCAAAGATGGGCACACAAGTTATCATTCCTTACCGGGATGAAGACGAGTCGCGCCTTTTCAAGCCCATGGGCGATTTAGGACAGATCGTCCGAATGGTGGAGACTTGTTCTGCCTTTGCCAAGTCTCGTAGAACTCATGAAACGTGCAGGAATGGGACATCCGCAACGAGAACCAGATAGCAGAGTGCCTCAAGCACTCGGATATTGTTTACAATCTCGCCGGTCGGGACTTCGAGACAAAGTGTGTATGTTGCCTATCTATGAAGCTTCCTCTTTGACACTACGTGCCATTAGAAACTTCGACTTCAAATCAGTGCACGTTGATGGCGCTGAGAGGATAGCTAACATTGCAGCACAATGTGGTGTCTCACGGCTTGTTCATGTGTCGCATTTGAACGCGAACGCCAAGTCCGAGTCCAAGTTCTACCAGACGAAAGCCGAAGGTGAGGAGCGTGTCAAAGCCGCGTTCCCCACGGCTACCATTGTGCGACCTGGGACGCTCTTCGGATACGAGGACAAGCTCCTCACGAACATGGCGGGTACGTGACGATCATTATGTCCCAGAGTCCATTGGTTGATAACTCCTCGCAGTTTGGCCCATTTGGTGGAAACTAAACCATGGCGAGACAAAAATACGCCCGGTGCATGTAAGCTTCACACCATTGTCTCTTTAACGACGTGGAAATAATCTTTTTTAAGGTCATGGATGTTGCCCAAGCCCTGGCCAATCTCATGTCAATCCCTCAAGTCGCGGGTACAATTAACCTACCAGGGCCATCCACCTTGACATACGAATATTTGCTTGACCTTGTGTCCTCTATTACGCTCCGCCCTCCCACCGGCGCGCCCGTCCTGCCCAAACCGGTTGCCTCGTTCCTTGCCAAAGCTGCACAGTCTGTTTGGTGGCCCGCCCTCAGCCCGGATGAGGTCGTCAGGCGCTATATTGACGATGCAGAGTACCCTGGTGATTGGGCTGCTGTTGGCATGGCTGAGCCATCGGAAATTGAGAATCATGCGATCACCTACCTCCGCCGCTACCGCTCCGCGTAAGTCAAGAAGTGTCGGAAGCGTTTCGTTACTTGCTGCTTGCTAACCTGGTTTTGTACAGGGATAACTTCGTGCGGCCCGTCGTCTTCCCTTCACGCCCGGCCCCTGTCGGTGTAAGTCCTTCCTTTTTCCACACGTTCTGATTCCCGTTGTTGACTTGATAGTAGGTGTCCGAGTAAGCAAGTCATGTAAATTCCTCTTTCATAGATAATACAATGGATTCTTGTTGACACTACTGCTTGACAATGTTGAGGTGCACTTTTTTGTGCAAGAGTAAGGTCGCATTTATGATTAACATGGATATGCGTAGCGATAGCATAGATAGATTGAGAGAGTGGGGGGTCGTATCCGAGGGACGAATCTGTAGACTAGTATTACACAAATGCTCAAGACGGAGAGGTCGGGATGTCATCGTCTCGTGAGTGTGATGGAATTAGCACACCGGTCGTGGGTGTGGAATGTACGGCTGCTATACTATGTAGTTCCCTCGAGGTCATAATATCATGAGGTCTAGAAACCGGGGGGGACAAGTCCCTTTTGTGCTTGGTCTGATGAACCTGGTGTTGGGAATCCGGACGGTGCAAGCATCTTGTGGTGATGTGTTAGAACGATTCGTGAGTAGACACCAAGGTAAATACCTGTTGAGCGCCCTGTTGCTGCTCCATCATTTCCTTTTCCTGTGCAACAATCTTGGCCTCGTCCTCGAGACTGAGTGCCAGCGGAAGTGCGACGAGCAAGGCGGAGGTTGTGACGACCCAAACGATGTTTCCTGCAATTTTTCCTCCACGCTTGAAGAAGGACGCTGTCCTTGAAATGCGGGAGGAGATGGAGTGACGTGTTGTTGGTGGAACAATGTCTACGAGGGCGACGAGACGGTCGAAGAATGTCTCGTCAACAGAGACGTCGGAGTCGACAGATGAGAGTGATTCTGAGGAGGAAATGCGAGACTCGTCGTCTGTGGCGTAGGGGGAGCCGGAGACATCCTTCTCTTCGACAATTTCGACCTTGACCATGTTGACGTTGCTGAGAGGAAAATTTCGGTGCCGAGGGTCGACGCGCGAGTCTTGAGAGGACTTCCTAATTGGGAAGTTTGCTTGGCTCTATTAGTCTCCCTCGAGCCTCGCATGCTTATATAGTATCCAGGTTCGATGCTAAAACAGCCTTCCCCTCCCCCCCTTCCAGTCATTTAATCCTCCTCATCTCTCTCTCTAACATGCAGCACGATGTCAACCGCAACGTTGGCGATTCACCGCCCCCTCAGCAGTCAGGTCCGATCCTGTCTTTACCCCGCATTCTCTACTCAGCTCACTGTTCAACGCGCTCCTACAGGCTACCTTCACGCATCGCAGACTTTTCAGAACCAGATGAACGAATACAACAAGTCTCTACCCCCGCCTCGTAAACAGAACACCGCTTGTGACGCCTGCAGGTCCGTCGTGCTCCAACCACCTCCCGATGTTTCATAGTTATCTCATACTTGGGTGGTCAGGTCGAGGAAAGTCAAGTGTAACCGTTTGCCGGGTCAGGAAAAGGTGATCTTTGGTTCATCATCGCGTACAACCATCTATTTTACGTCCCGATCTTCTTCCAGTGTCAGGTAATTATCTTCGCATTCCACGCTTCCCGGCCTTCACAACTCGTCCACAGCATTGCCTTTCAAAGAACTACCCATGCACGTCCGTATCATTGTCCTCTTCGCGAGAATCAGTATTCACTTGTTCCGTAGACACCTTATTCAACAAGCCACAAGCGAGAAAAAGCGTAATGCCTCCGTTGGCCGGAGACCCAGGATAAGTAGCTCAGCATCCGCCAAGTACTCTGTCCTGGATCCCTCAGGGAAGCCGAGTGCCGTGCTCGGTCGCTTTGCAGAACCACCATCACCAAGGTACCTTCCTCATTTCTGGCTATCGTTTTCTTGGATCGCCGCTGACACCTCGGCATGCACTCAGTGGGTCTTCTCCGGCAGCCCTGATGATGTGCGTGCTTACAATGATTGGTTTATGGGCGCCTCTGATTTCCTTCCTAGCTCCTCGTCTATTTTGGAAAATGGCGCTGCCATGGTACCTCCGCCGAATCCTCAAAACTTACCCCTTGGAGTCAAGTATGGTTTCTATCCTCATATAACTTTGGCGACGACAACCCGAGAACTTCTATCGTATATATTTGCGCCACCTGAACCGAGCGAGTAAGACATTTTCTCTATTTTCTTTTACCTGCCTTACTTATCTCGTATCCTAGGAACCAACATCTAATTTCTCCTGTAGTTGGCCGAACCCCGTCTCCTTACGATGTCTGGGGTGCTCACGCATATCGGCTTGAAAACGATAAGTTCAAGGCTGAGTAAGTATTCATTTGATGCCAGTTCCCAGCCTATCGATATGGCAGCATCTAAACTACATTCGGTTTCTTTCAATTCCCCCCACCTTTCAATCATTTCATTTCGGCTATTCCAGTTCCCAATCCCTTATCCTCTTTGTTTGTTTCTATCCATCTGACTCCATCCATCGTGACAGATTTACGCTGGATCTCGTGGAAGTATTCTTCCAAATTGTGCATACTCGGCTCCCCCTCCTTAATCCCGAGCATTTCCGTGATCGTCTTCAGCTCAGCCCGTCGACATCGTCCAATTCCAGGGAACCCCTACACCCCGCGCTGGTGGCTACCGTTCTTGCATGGGGGACAAAATTCTCTGAACATCCACTACTTGTTGCCGATCGAAGCCGTCCTGGCAAGCAGAGTCTACTGGCCAAAACCCTGATT